TGAATAATATTTATTATAATTTTGAATGAAAAATATTAAGCGGAGAATGTCAACCGACAGATATTTATTCACATATAAATTGATGATTTATAACATTACGGTGAATACAATCATATTTCTTTACCTTTGACGACAATGCACAATGATCGGAACGACAACAAGAATTCTTTTTAAGAAAAAGGTGATATCTGCTCGATAGTTAAAGTTTACTTGTAAATTCTTTTTCATCATTGTTTTAAGACAAAAATAAAATAAGAAAATAATAAACAAATCTTCAAATTTGAAAATCTTTTAGAAACGATCTGCATAACATCCAAATGTTGAAGAGAAAAATGATTCCATTCTTATTTCATTGTATGAAAAATGAAAAAAAGCATTAAGTTTGCATTTAAAGAGTATAAAATATTTCTCATGTCAGTTAATGTCTTACAGGCTACAGCTGTAAAGCTGTAACTACTAGCAAATCAACTAGGAGCGTGAAGCAAAAATAAGATATACATAACTGGACAAATTGAGGTTACACTCTGCTTACTTCAAATAATTCATGAAATTAAAAACATTTGACCATTGTTTACTGAGCGCGCGCGATGATTATCAAAATGAACATTTAAATAAGTCGATTCAGAGAATGCTACGTGTTTTAATGCATTTTATGTTGCGTGTTTTAGTGAAATATTAGATTGACTCTAGGCAATGAGATGAAGAGATATGAATACTTCCAGAAATGAATAAGTCAAGTTCGTATAAAATGCGAACAGGTGATCAGACAAGCGTATCATCTTCGTTAATAAAATGACCACATTTTTATTAAAAAATAATTTTAACAAGCTGATAATAAATGACTTTTAATTTAATGCTTACCTTTCACTATCACTTTTGGTGAGCATAATCGAAACCTCCCAGTCATAAAAATTATGATGCAATTAACTGTTATGAATTAAATGAAGGAAAAGTATAAAGTTTAACAACTAATTCGTAACATTGTTTACTGAATTGTATAAATATATCATCCGGTGTTCATAAATTTAATTTTCAGTTTCAAAACGAAGATATGTTTCTATCTAATAAGTTTCTGCAGAAATTTAACGCAATAAAAGAGCTTCTTCTACACAAGTTATTGAATAAAAAGAAAATCTTCTGGAGAATGTCTACTTGCGACGATATAAATAATTAATTATTTCATTGGTGAAGAAAACTTATTTCAAAATAAACATCAGACTTGAATACGTCAGTTTTTAAATAAAATAATATCATTTTGAACCATCATCGTTTATCTACTTCTGCTACAAATGAAATTTTTGTATATAAAATTCATTTATAATTAAATATAAAAAAATCTATCTCATTGATGGATTCTGTATTTAATATCATAGATCAAATAAGAAATCTAGGTTGCAGTCAATTGAATATATTTGCTTAATGAAGGAACAGTTCAAAGATGAGTAAATTAAACGAAT